GATGCTGCATGTCCAGATCTGCAGGGACAAAGAGGACGGGTCGATGGGCACCCACCGGGAATGCTGTCCCACCCTATCCCGCGGTGCCAGCCCTACCAGGTAGGCGACAAAGGCCACGTAGGCAGCCAGCAGCAGGGCCACAGGGATGTAGTACTCCAGGCCCCGCAGTGTGGGCAGAAAGTCCACCACGAAGTAGATGTTGATGGCACACACCAGTCCTGTGATGAGGGTCATCAGCACCTTCCCTGGGCTGCGGGCAGGGCAGTGAGCATCAGTCAGGGCAGGGTCCCCATCATGTGTGCCACTGGGCACAGCAGGCTGGGGGATCTGGGTTGGTAGATGAGCAAGACCTCATCTGGGACATCTCTGCACCCCACTGCTATACTCATGATGGCACTCTGCCTGTGAGCTTTGGCCACCCTCCAAATCCAGGACTGGCAGTGCCAGGAGGATGCTGAGGACCCAGGCAGTGCCCAAGGAGCCCAGATGTGGCACTGGTAGGAGAATGGAGAGGGCAGTAAAGGGATCTGTTCTGCTCTGGCTACCCTGGGCAGGTGGGAATAAGCACACTCCTCCAATGCCCATACACCAATTACCCCCATGGCATGGTTTGGGGGGACAGGATGGACCACAGGGAGGGTGCCTGCAACCAGACTGCCCCACTCTGCCCCTCTCTGTGCCTCTCCCTGCCCTGGCACTCACAGGCTGTTGGTGAAATCCTGCATGAGTGGGCTCAGGCTGGTGAAGGTGAGGACGGGCAGGACGGCGAAGGGCAGCTGGAAGAAGACGGGCATGAAGCAGACATGGCTCCCAGGCTGGAGTGTTTGGGGGCAGGTGTTGCCCTCCCTCCCCCTTACCAGGATGCTCTGTAGGACGTTAAGCAGGTCATTCATTCCCGTGAGGTGGCTGACATCCTTGAAAGCAGCCACAAAGAGAGTGGGCAGGATGGCGAAGGAGCGAGTGAAGAGCACCCGGGCAAAGCGGGACCAGCGGAGCTGCAGGAAGCCCTGGGACACAGCAAAACTTGCACTCTTGCCCCTCGTCGTGCCTGGGGCACCTTGACAGGGCAGCCCCTCCAAACCCTGGCTCATAGTGGAGGAGCATGGAGGGCATTGCCCTCTCCTCAGTACCAGGACACCGAGTGGTCCTTTGCAGGGCTGCCAGGCCCCGCTAGGTGTCAGCTCCGCCTCATTAACAGAGGATCTAATTAGGGAAACACTGCGTGGGGCATCACAGGGGGTGGAGATGGCCATGCAGCAGCAGTGTGTGGGCACTGTCCCCATCCCACCTCCTGGGGACCAGGGACCCTGGTGCCACCCTGTGGGTGGGCAGTGCTTCATGCTCTGCTCCCCACAGGAATGGGGCAATTAACTCTTCCAAATACTCCTGGGAGGAGTGCACTTCCCATAGGACCTCCCATCCCAGGGCCCGTCTGTGATTTCCCTCCTTCCCACCTGCTCCCTGTAGGGATGAGGGCCAGCACCCCTGTCTCTCACCTCCATGACAAACTGCCCTGCATAAGTCCCAGTCATCGTGGAGCTCTGTCCAGCTGCCAGGATCCCAATGGCCCAGATGTATAGTGCCACTGCCCCGAAATAGCAGCCCAGGATGACACCCTGTGTGGGGACACTCCTGTGGGCACCCCAAAGCGTCCCCCACCCTAGGCATCCCAGCTTTCCAGCAGGGTTGCAAGAGCCCCCAGCCCTGGGGGTCAATGTGGGGAGCGATATGTCCCCCAGATGAGAATGGGTGCTCGCTGGACATAGCCTGATGCCACTCACCCCCTGGTAGATATCCACAGACACCGTCTCATTGTTAGTGGGGAAGATATCGGCGTAGTGGCTCATGCTGCTGTTGACACACTTGTTGTGCTGCAAGGCATGGCGGGCACGAGCGTGACAGACGCTCACTAATCCCCACAGACATGGAAGGACTCAAACACCATGTCTCAGGGAATGAGGACACCCCCTCTCCAAGGGATGTTCACCCTGCCCTTCTCCACAGCTGGGCATAGCCATCATATCCCTGAGGGCACAAGGTGACACTTACTATGTCCTCATTTTGCTGGTGGTAGAAAGCCTCACCGAAGACAGCCATGACAAAGAGGTTGATAAGGAAGGAGATGAAAAGAGCCAGGCAGGACTCGATCAGGAAATACATGTTGGCCTCCTGCACTGCCTCCTTCTTGGTCCGGTCAATCTCCCGTGTCTGGGCATAGCCAATGGCATGGGTGTCATGGGGTCAGGTGAGCACCCTGTCCCGCAGCCAGGACCAGCTGGTCTTCACCAAGTGTCCCCTGAGACAACCCAGGGGGAAAGTGCCTATGGCAATGCCTCAGTCTCACCTTGACCAAGGACGAGTGGAGGAAGATGTTATGGGGCATAATGATGGCGCCAACAATGCCCACAGCCTGGAGTAGTTCCTCTCGCCCACAGCCCATGCAGTAGGGCAGGAAAATGCCCTTCAGTACCTCCGCCTGACCTGGCCTCACCATCATGTACTGGAGACCAGTGGGAAGGGGCACTGTGAGCTGCCACCTCTACTGCTGCAGGCTGGTACCAGTGGGGACACCATGTGAGGGTCCCTTGCCAGTACCCTGTAGGAAAAGAGGTGTCCCCAGCTCTCCCCTTTACCTCATAGCCAAAGGTCAGGGCCATGATGGTGATGAGAAGGCCGAAGAAAGCCTCCAGTTTGCGGAGCCCTAGAGCAATCAAGAGATGGGGTGGGATGGAGCAGGGGAACACCAGTGCCACATCATCATCAGGGCTGCCTGAGTGAGTGTACCCCCATCTCCCCACACTGGCACTCACCATACTTATCGAGGAAGAGGAAGAAGAGGGTGTCCACAATGGTGATGAGTACTCCAGCCCAGAGGGGAATGCTGCAGGATGGCAAAGGGGGGATTAGACACATGCCCCTCTGTGGGCTAGGGCCATGGGGGAGGCTAGGGGGTCCCCGTGGGGAGGCTCACCGGCCAGCTGAGAGCAGGCTGAAGGCAATGGCTGTCCCGATCACCTCCTGCATGTCAGAGCCGACGATGGCAATCTCGATCATGAGCCAAAGCATCACACGGGGTACCTGGAGGGGCCAAGGCACCGTGAGGTGCCTGAACCCACAGAGGGACCTGGCCCCAGGCAAGCTGGCACGGCATCCCAGGTGAAGACCCCTGGCCCCAGGTTGTGGCAAGCCACCCAGAGCAGCGTGGGGACCCTAGGAGACACCTCTCAGCTTCTTACATGACACAGTCTCAGGGTGAAAGCTGGACGATAAGTCCCCATCCCTGCTCCAGTGGGAGCTGAGGATAGGACCCAGCTGTCTGGATATGATGCTTCGGTGTGGGAAGGGTGGGGGGGGAATGGGGACACGGGTCAGAGGGACACATCCAGTCCTCCTTTTCGGGACGTCATTCAGCCAACATCTCATTGCTCTTCCCTCCCATCAGGATCTCGCCACCTAGCCGGGTCCCGTGGCACCCCACCTCCTTTGCCATGTGACCCCTCCCCTCGACACCCCCCCC